CGAATCACCTGACTCCCTCCTTCCCCCCTCCCACCTCAACACCCCCCCCCCTTCTTCCCCAACCCCAAACCCCGATCACCTTCCCCCCCTCACACATCAACACCCCCCCTCACCCCTCTTCCCCAATCCCAAAACCCCAATCAGCTGACTCCCTCCCTCCCCTACCTCTCCCCCTCTCCCCCCCTCACCCCTCTTCCCCAATCCCAAACCCCAATCACCTGACTCCCTCCCCCCCTCCCCCCTCCCCCCTCTCCCCCCATCACCCTTCTTCCCCAATCCCAAACCACAATCACCTTCCCCCCCTCACACCTCCCCTCCCCCTCACCCCTCGTCCCCAATCCCAAGCCCCAATCACCTGACTCCCTCCCTCCCCTACCTCTCCCCCTCCCCCCCTCTCCCCCCATCACCCCTCTTCCCCAATCCCAAACCACAATCACCTTCCCCCCCCCCCACACCTCCCCTCCCCCTCACCCCTCGTCCCCAATCCCAAAACCCCAATCAGCTGACTCCCTCCCTCCCCTACCTCTCCCCCTCTCCCCCCCTCACCCCTCTTCCCCAATCCCAAACCCAATCACCTGACTCCCTCCTCCCCTCCCCCCTCCCCCCCTCCCCCCTCTCCCCCCATCACCCTTCTTCCCCAATCCCAAACCACAATCACCTTCCCCCCCTCACACCTCCCCTCCCCCTCACCCCTCGTCCCCAATCCCAAACCCCAATCACCTTCCCCCCCCCCCCCCACCCACCCCCTCTATCTCCCCCCGACGAGACTCCGTGACGAGACTCCGATCACAGAGATCCTCGGCGACTCTTTTAAGCTGCATCTTGAAGGCGTTGAAGAACCTCTGCAGTTCCCTCAATGCGTCTCTCAGGAGGAGACCAAGAGGGAACAAGTTTCCGACATATATCATCGTGGCCTTGCTTCTACCTACCTACCCCTCCCCCTCTCTTCCCTTCCCCTCCCCCCCTAAACACACACACACACACTTCCTTCCCCCTCTTTCCCTCCCCTCCCCGCGCATACACCTCCCCCCTCCCCCTACCTCCTCCCCCTCCCCGCGCATACACCTCCCCCTCCTCCCCCTACCTCCTCCCCCTTCCCACCCCCACACCTCCTCTCCCCTCCCACTCCCACACCTCCTCCCCCCTCCCACCCCCACACCTCCCACCCCCTCCCACCCCCACACCTCCTCCCCCCTCCTCCCCACCCCCATACCTCCTCCCTCCTCCTCCCCTCCCCTCCCCCCACACATAAACACACATGTGAACATATACACAGTCACACACATGCTCACTTACACACACACACGTACAAATAAACAACCACAAACACAGCACGTACTGCACCTATTTACATATACATATATAAAGACAAAGTCCCTATGATCATGCCGTTACAGTATTCCCAAAGCTGTTAAAAAATACATATCATTCTTTCACACACGTGCACATAAACGCATGTATACAAATCCACACATGTGCATACGTACACACTCACACACATACACATACACACGCACACACTCACACACGTACACACACACATACACACACACACACACACACACACACACACACACACACACACACACACACACACACACACACACACACACACACACACACACTCACTCACTCACTCACACTCACACTCTCACACACACACACAGTTACACACACAAACACACACACACTTAAAAAGAAACAAAAACACCAACTTACACCTACGTACATGTAACTAAATTCCCATGACCATGTCGTTACAACCTTCACCGAGTTTTTAAAAAAGAAAGAAAAAAAAAGCAAAAAAAAAAAGTCATCTATATGGTACTGATAAACGCAAATTAATCAGAAGACTAAGCTCGCCGAATCCCGCCAGTGTGGCAATTTATCATGTCCCGAGTTGAAGCAAAAAAAAAAGGAAAGAAAAAAAAATGAAAAAAAGGAAAGAAAAAAGAAAAAATAGGAGAAGAGAGATAAAAAGATAAAAAAAAAGATAAGAAAAGAGGAAAAAAAAGATAAACAAAAAAGGAAAGAAAAAAATAAATAAATAAAAGAAGAGAGATAAAAAGATAACAAGAAAATAAGAGGAAAAAAAAAGAAAAAAAGGGAAAGAAAAGAAAAAAATAGAAGAAGAGAGATAGAAAGTAAAAAAGAAAGAAAAAGAGGAAAAAACAAAAAAATAAAAAATAAAAGAAAGAGGAAAAGAAAAGAAAAAGAGAAAAAAAAACTTTTCTCTTTCTCTTCTCCTTCCTTATTCCTCTCCCTTCCTTAAACATTTTTTTCCTTTCATATATTCACCTTTTTATCTGTGTTTTGATGAGTGGAAATATATAAAAAAGTTACAATGTAAATGGTGTAAAAGGGAAGGGGCAATGAGGTAGAGAAATACAGTGGACAAGATAAAGGTGTGATAAATGATGAAATGGGGGAGTAAATGAGAGAAAACACAGAGAGAGAGAGAAGGAGAGAGAGAGAGAGAGAGAGAGAGAGAGAGAGAGAGAGAGAGAGAGAGAGAGAGAGAGAGAGAGAGAGAGAGAGAGAGAGAGAGAGAGAGAGACAGAGGAAGAGAGAGAGAGAGAGAGAGAGAAGAGAGAGAAAGAGAGAGAGAGAGAGAGAGAGAGAAGGAGAGAGAGAGAGAGAGAGAGAGAGAGAGAGAGAGAGAGAGAGAGAGAGAGAGAGAGAGAGAGAGAGAGAGAGAGAGAGAGAGAGAGAGACAGAGGAAGAGAGAGAGAGAGAGAGAGAGAAGAGAGAGAAAGAGAGAGAGAGAGAGAGAGAGAGAGAGAGAGAGAGAGAGAGAGAGAGAGAGAGAGAGAGAGAGAGAGAGAGAGAGAGAGAGAGAAGAGAGAGAAAGAGAGAGAGAGAGAGAGAGAGAGAGAGAGAGAGAGAGAGAGAGAGAGAGAGAGAGAGAGAGAGAGAGAGAGAGAGAGAGAGAGAATGTGATAGAAAGAAAGAAAGAGAGAGAGAGAGAGAGAAAGTGATGGAAAGAAAGAAAGAAAGAGAGAGAGAGAGAGAGAGAGAGAGAGAGAGAGAGAAAGTGATGGAAAGAAAGAAAGAAAGAGAGAGAGAGAGAGAGAGAGAGAGAGAGAGAGAGACGAAACACTTATTAAACTTAAGTATGTGTGTGAGTGGCCGGTCACGCCCTCTCTTTGTGCAACAGATGTGACGTCACATTTTTTTTTCCTCCAAACCTGGAGTTATAGATCAACTTATCGAAAAAAAATTCACACGTTTCACACACTGACTCACGTTCGGGTTGAATTTCCCTTTGCAGTGCAATGTTGATTTCCATGTTCCTGGTTTATTCAAGAAGAATTATTCGTTCTTTTAGTTAACGAAATTAGAAGA